TTGGCAGCCTCCCTGTGTTTGTTTCTATGTATTAGATAGAGTTACTATGACTCCCTATCTTAGTATCGTGGCCTAACTTAGTAGGTGTCCCATAGGGCCCAATGGCACAGTCTCCCTATCACCTGAGATGGGTACTCAAGGTGTGCCCTTCCTGTGTACACTCTTAGTACACTCTTAGTACACAGGCTTAGTGCACAGGCTTAGTACACTCTTGTAGTTGAGCCTTGGTTGCTGTTGACAGGTCAGTGGGAGGGATTTACTCAGGCCAGTCAACAGCAAGGACTTGTGACCACTAACCACCAATCTCTTCCCTCAGTGGAGGTACATCCATCCAAGGGCAGGGTGGTGATGACTGGACATGGTCTGTACCTGTTCACTGGCTGCACAGGCCCTGTGATTTCCTGGGTGGTGCAGGCCAAGGTCAGCCCCAACCTGCATTTTGCCCAGGGCCGCTGTGCCTGAGCTATAAAGCAATCTGAGAAGTCTGCTACTTGTGCTGGGTTTAGAGATTCCCGGGTAAAGCTAATATGTAAATCTAGGCTGGTTGCTGCTCGTGCTGTGCCTGGGGCCACTTAGCAAGAGGTATGGGGGTTGGGGGCTCAGTGAGGCCAGCTGTTGCTTGTTTGAAAGGATTTATCAAGTTGTGAAGCATGAGCCAAGACCAGCCATTCATAAAGAAAAGCCACTGTTAACAGCTGTATGTTGCATGGGACAGATCTCCAGGGTGGGGCAGACAGTGTTAGCCAGCTTGATGGAGTCTCAGGTATGGCACCTGCCTGCTGTCTCTGTGGTCCTAGCCACCTTTCTGTCTGGGAGAAAGCTGTCCCCCAGCTCTCACCTTGATGCTGGAGGAACACTTCACTGGTGCCTTTCAAGCTGCTACCCAGGTGCTAGAGCTCAGAGGGAGTGATTCTAAGTAATTTCGTGTGTGGGTTCTTTAACAGAAACTGCTTGGGACTCCAGAAGTTTCTTCCACCAACTCCATCCCTACTGGTTTTTGCAGCCAGAAGTTATAGGGACTTATCTTCCTGGCACTGGAACCCTGGGGCTGGGGTTGGGGCTGGGACTCCTTGCTCCCAAGATATCCCTCCTGAATTTTTATCCACCACACATGGATGTGGGACCCACCCATTCTGCATCTTTGCCCCTCCTGACAGTCTGGATGGATGTGGATTCTTTACTTCTGTAGTTGTCAGACTTCCCTTAAACTCAATTTCTGACAGTTCTGAGTGAGGGTTGTTCTATAATTTAGTTGTAATTTTGATGTGATTATGCAAGGAAGTGAACTATGTTTACCTATGCTACCATCTAGGCCAGAAGTCTGTTATGATTCTTAATAAAAGCTGAACATATCCATACTATTTATAGGATGACTATACTATCTTACATTCCCAACAGTAATGTATGAGAGATTCAGTTTCTCTGTATCCTTGCCAGTGTTTGATATTATCACTATTTTTATTATTTTTTATATGAGTCATTCTGATAAATGTTCAGTGACATCTCTGGGGTTCTTCCTCTGAAGTCTTGTCCCCTCTTGTGTTCTGCCCTGTGAACTCTGCTTGTGTTGGTGTCCTTGAACTCCTAACCTGTCTTCTCAATTTAGGGAGACAGATTGACTCTGCCTGGGTTCTCCTTCTCTTGCCACATGGTCTAGAAACTCCATGGAGTTTGTTTGTTTCCCATCTTTTGGTGATTGCTGTCCATCATTGTCTGTTTTCCAAAGTTTTGAAATCTGTTGTTTCATATAATTTGTTCATTTTTATAGGGGTTTCAGAGAAATTCCAGTTGCTGTTATTCCACTTTGCCTATAAGTGCAAGTCCATTTTAGATTAATTTATAATGGGAAATAGTGCTTATGCTTAGAATCTAAGTCTTAAATGGATTCATTGTCAATTTTCTAATCAGAGTATCTGTTCTATATCTATCTCTGTATCTATATAACTAATATCTGTCTATCTACCTATCATCATACAGTTTGCTTAACTAGAAGTCAGGAGTTCTGCTATTAGAAATGCTATTACTTATATATAGCATCTGAGATATTAACCCCTTTGAGTCACTTCTTTTATTTGTAAAATGAAACATCAGTCTATATGAGCCTTAATTTCTATGCTGAGATTCTAGGATATTATTTGACTTATTCTAGAAGAAATGAGAGTGTTGGTAGCTGCTATCTTAGTATGTGCTATTTTTTAAAAGGAAAATGGCATTGATAAAGTAATGGGCATGTGTCAGTAATTGCTATATAATAGCAATAACAATAACAACAATAGCTAATACATTTATCCTTTTGCATGCAGTATCTTATATAATATTAACAACATCCCTATGAAGTATTACTCAAATTTGGAAGATGAGGAAAATCTGGCCATAAGAGGAAAAAACAAAAATAAAAACCTACTCAGTCTAAAGGTTATACTTAGAACACACACAGAGGTCCTTTCTTCATATTTAATAAAGGGGTACTTTCAAACAACCCATAATAGGAACAAAACTACCATAATTATAAAGAGGCAGGTGATGCATGTATTGAATATGTTATCCCTGCTGATTCTAGGCAGCTACTGGGCTCGGCAGAGGATTCTTTATTCCCTTTTCATGTTGCAGATAGGCCTTACCAGAATGGGTGGGCAAAACGGGCACCAAAGAGGAACAGCAGAAGCAAATCATGAGAGTGAAATGCCATAAATGCCTTGTATGAAGTAAGTGCCCAATATTGATAGTTGTTGTTACTATTATTGTTGTAAATTATCAATATCAGCACTGCAAATGATCAGCCTGATAGACTTTGCAGGTCACAGAAGAGGCTCCCAGACCACCATTGGAAAACCCCTGCTTGAATGACAAAGTAAAATATTCTCCTGTAAGGGGCTCATTTATGTCTAGAGAAGGTTTGTATAGTGCTTTAATAATTTCCAGAATGCTTTTAAAAATATTACCTCATGATGTCACTTTTAATTAAAGAAGTGACTAGAGTCAACATTGTACCTTTCCAGTTTTACTCACCCAGGCATCAGGGACTGATAATGATGGTGCCGCTTTGAATGTTCTCTTATCCAGGGCTATATCATCAGCTCTGAAAAATCTCAGACTAATGGGAACGTGGTTACTGGCTGAGGGTTAGAAAGAGGGAGAGTGGGAAGCTGAGATGGGCTTCAGCGGAAAGGTATGTAAAAATTCGTGATTGACTTATACTCCAAATATTCTAAAACAACAAAATAGCCATTTTGGAGAGATGACCCAAATAAAGGCCCATCTTGATGTTCCAGTAATGATAGGAAAGGGTTAAAGGAAGTACATGCGCAGAGTATAAGGAAATGACTTGGTTTGAAATTCATGGGCAAGATCAGGGTGCTATGAGCCTCAGAAGAGTGGGTGTAACTGAGGAGTAGAACAGTTTATTGACAAAATCAAATTGCAATTTCCCAGGCTTAAGACATTTCCTGTCTTGGATGCCTGGGTCTGTCTCAATGTCCAAATAGCCTTACTTCAAAGTGTTTGTGGGAGCAGAAAGGAGACTTGGCTGAGTGTGTTTATTTAGTGCTGGGTGGGGGGAGTGAGAAGGGAGTGGGCTGAGGAATAAGTCTGGGTTTAAGAGCGCATGGACCACAAGGTGGTAATCATTTTTCTGAAGACCAACCTCCAGGGCACTTCTCAGAGGGAAGGAAACCCTGGGAGGGAAGAACTTGTTCAAGAAGAGGAAACAGGAATCTTTGAAGCTACTTCAGTGTGTAGTAGGTAAGTCACAGTGGTTTTGGATGCTCCAAGGAACATGAACTATTCTTTCTTTTTTAAAAAGTTAAAAACATTTTTTTGAAATATTTAATAATATAAGGAACAATAATAATATAAGGAACTCCTGAATACCCTTTATTCAGGTACATTCTTTTTAACCCCCCCTTCTTTAATAGTTTTATTTCTTTCTCTCTTAACATACATATACACACACACACGCAATCTATGTTTTGAACCATTGAGAATAGTTTGCATATGCCATGTCCCTCGGCTCCTTCATAGTTCAGGGTTCATTTCCTAAGAACAATTATATTCTCTTAAGTAATCATAGTACAGCTTTCAAATTCAGTATAGCAAACATTGGTATATTTATACCTACTCAACAGACCACAGTGATTTTTTTCCTGGTAGAGAAGGTCTCTCTGATAGGGGGCTGAGACTGGCTTAGTGAGAAAAAACATGCAAGACCCTTCACTCAGCTTTCATTAGCATCTTTATTAATAGAAGAACCCCAGCAAATCAGTTGTTGGGTTTTCTTTGGTTTCATTCTTATTCCATTCTTCCCTAAGAGCACAAAACTGAGTACAAAATACCAAGTGCTAAGAGGGCTTTAGTAGTAGAAGGGATCTGGTATGTATGACAAGGGTCCTAAGATGCGGAGTTGAGCGTCTCCTCTTTCACCTCTTACCTCTCTGCCTCGCCTCAGCTTAGGAGCAAGAATGGACTATAGTACTTTTTCTATTCCCTTTAAACTTTCTTTGGGGGAAGAGTGGGTAGCAAGGAGAGTTATAAAGACTTAAGTATGCAAAAATATATTCGAGATAAAAAATAAAGGGATGGTCTTCTATGGTAATTCTAGTCCTTCACTGAGAATAAGGCTACCTATAAGAATTTCTCTCAAGGGAAGTGTGACACTGTGCTTGTTCATGTTCTCTACCAGTCTCTTGGGTTATTGGAACTAATTTCTGGTTAAGAGTCAGTTGATGTTAACTTTCCCCCACTGTTGCCCCATTTGTGAACCAATTTCAGAACTGCTTCCCCTCGTCCTTCCCGTTCTGCAAGATCCACACATTATTACACAGCAACAGGGAATGTGGTGGGGAGGGATAGGAGGTGCCTTGAGGGGGATGGGGTAATATGGGGTAAGGAAGAGGAAACCCGAAAGGCTATGCTGTCAGGGTTTAAGGAGTCTAGGGTCTCTACTAGAGTCAAGTTTCATCTCAAAATCATTCCTTCCTTTTCCTTCCTGCCCTCCAGGCAAAATGAAGCTGACTCTGGTGCAAATCTTTTTTGTGTTGTTGCTGCTGTTGCTGGGCTTGGGGATGGGCCTGGGGTTGGGGCTTCGGATGGCTGCAGCAGTCCTGGAAGACAGTGAGGAATCACTGAGTGAATTTTGGTCCAGTGACTCACAGGACAAAGCCAAGGCTACTGAGGAGGCAGAAGGCATCCGAACAACAGAAACCCTGCTGCTTAGCAACAAAGGGGTGGTACAACCTGGCTGGCCAGAAGACTCCATCCTCAATGAAGATGAAGTTGGAGGAAACAAGATGCTCAGAGCTGAGGGTCTCTTTCAGAGCAACAAAGACTATCCCAGGCTTGACCTGATGGCCCGGGAATGCAATGCCTTGATGGCACACAAGATGAAGGAGCACAACCACACATGCATAACCCAGTACACGTTCGTCCATGAGGAGCTAGACACAGTCAGAGCTGTCTGTAATGGTCCTGTTGTTGCCTGTGAGCTCCAGGGAGGCAAGTGTCACAAAAGCTCCCGTCCTTTTGATTTGACACTTTGCAAGTTATCCCAACCAGGCCAAGTCACTCCTCACTGCAATTACCTAACTTTCATTTTTGAAAAATTCATTATTATATCCTGTAATGACATGAAGCTCCAGGTATCTTCTGGAAAATGAAGCAACTTTCCTCTTCTTTTTCTTCACCTTCTCCTCTTCCTCTTTCTTATACTGTTTTCTTCCTCCTAGGTTTTCTACAAAACAGTTTCTGGGAACAGAGGCTGATTTATTCTTTATCATTCCCCCATGAAAATACAATTCTCCTTTGCCCAGGGGATCCCCCCAGCTTGCATTTTGTTCCTGTGATTAGAAGTGGCAGAATAGGTGAATGATCTAGATTCTCTAGGTTCTTCCTCTCTCAGATCCTATCTCCTGCCCTGGAAAGAGATTAGTGAAGAACTGCTCTAGGCTCTCCCAGGGCCCTGGTCATTAGTCTGTTCCCTGGTCTGTTTGTCTTTGTCTGTGGACTATAAGAATTTAGTGCATCCTTCACCCATGTCCTTTCCTGCTACCCAACCTGAGCCTTTAGGACAATAAACCTCCTGGACTTTCCACATAACACTTCTCTGCCGTAGATGCAAATTAAAGTAATTAAATCTTACTGCATCTGGAGAACCATATGGAATGGGTTTCTTTTGTTTTTTTAAATTGGATTTATTAAGGTGACACTGGTTAACAAAATTATACAGGTTTCAGGTGCACAATTTCACAACACATCATCTATACACTGTATTGTGTGTTCACCACCACAAGTCAAGGGAATGAGTTCCTTTCCTGAGTCTGAATATAAGGCCTAGATTTAGGGATTTAGGGATCTCCTGGTAAAGATCTATGGTCTTGCAGATGAAGACAGAACTTGTGCTGGGGAAAGACAGCCCTCTTTTTTCTTGAAGCTTCTCTGCCTTTTTCTCTTTCCTCCATCTTTTAGTACCTCTTTGCTTTGCTCCTTTTTTCCCTCTCTTTCCTCAGTTCCCTTTTTCCTCTCTTTTTGCACCCTCCCCCCCAATCTTTCTCTAAATACTTGAGAAATTCACGTAGCCAACACTGATTGCTTGTGCAATGCCAGGTAAGAAGATGTTGGTCCCATGGTCAAAGAGTCTGTCATACCAGGTTGGAGGGAAAGGTGGCTAGAGACTTGTTAGGGTGGTTGGTGGTGTGGGCTATGAAAGAATTCACAAAGAGAAGAAAGTATAGAGAATAAAGTTTTCATTCACTCTCCAAGAAAGTAGAGGGACATGATGTGGAGAGATATACCAGCACTGAAGGGTGGGAACTTTGAGCTTTTATCGGATTATAATTGGATTAAAAAGGGGTAGGGGGTTGCTGTTGTGTGGCCCCTGGGCTGTTTGGCCATTGTAACTTGAAGCTTCAGTTTGTTCCAATTTTATCTTCCACCTGTGCCTGTAAGGAGCTGTTAGTTCTGTTTTTGCTACCAGCAATTTCTAGTCCTGGGGACAAGCTCAGAAGAGTGAAATGACAGTCATGTTCACCAAGGTCATAGGCCTGCTAGGCAAATGGTGCCACAATAATGAATGGGGGGCTGGCTTTATCCTTTCATTCCCCCCTCTGGTTTTAAAATGGATTTATTCTTAATGACCTGGCCTAGTTCTTGTTTTGGGAAGCAGGGACGAAGTTCTCTTCTTCCATAACTACTTCAGGTGGGCTAGGGATGTAGAGCTGTCCCTGCCTGTGGGTCTGGGTATAGGTCATTAAGGAGAAGAGGGTGGAACTCCTGGGACAGTCCAAAGAACAAGAGCTGTGCCTGGAGGCCACTTGTGGAGAGGATCTTTCAGAGCCTCAACACTCCATTGAATGAAGGATATGAGATATTTCAGGAGACATGGCCTAAAAATAAGAAAAAAAGAGAAAGACTGCTACAGGTCCTAGAAAGAAATTAATCAGAAAAACCAAGGCCAGTTATTGAACTTAATATCCCCAAAAAGGAGAGGCAGAGTAGTAGGTAAATTCTGTATGGCTGACACTGCTTCAGTAGTTCTCAATAATTTCAAGTCAGAGAATGAAAGAAATAAATGAAACATTAGCTTAGAAGAAAACAAGGAAAACTAGGATTCAATCAGTTTGTGGGTGACAACTGAACATTGAGATTTCTGCTGAAACACAATTTCTCTCCCTAAAATTACCCTCATTTTATCAGAGACTGTGTATAAGTCCAATTTCAATTTGGCCTCATTATTTGCATGAATGCAAGAATAGTAATTCATCAGGCAGGCTCTTTCAAATTTGCTTTGCTGAGATTTTACAAGGAACCTTCAGATTGAGCTTTGGTCAATCTTTCAGGGTAAAGAAGCCCAGCCACACAGTTACCATCTGGCTTTGCCTGAAATACCTATTAGTTCATTTTGATTCCTCAAGTTCTTGAGGCCCCCAAAACGTCTTGAGTTTCCCTTATTGCCATCTCTCAGGGAAGCAATCTTTGTTCCTTACCTAGAAAGACTGCCATGAACCATGTGACAATGCAAGGTATCAGACCATTTCTCCAAGGGCTTTTTAAGGGGTTCAAAAATCAATCTTAATTCCTTAAGGCTTTCTGGCGACATCCAGAGCCAGGCATGACTCAATCATGACATTCCCAACAAAGACTTGGTTAATAAAGCCACTTTTGCCAACTGGTGCTATTATAAAAAGAACAAATTCTTATTGGGTTTGTGCAAACAAAAAAAAATGCCAGGAAAATACTATTTACCTATTAAGAGTTGCCAAATTCTGGAGGGATTAGGTAGGGAGAAAAATATAAATGTTTCAATATTGCTTATGAGGGTATACTTTACAAATTGTTCTAGGGGAAAAGTTTCCATATATCTAGAAAACAAAAAGATTTAAAATTAGCAATAGTTTGAACCAAGTCAAAAGAATAACAATTATTTCTAGTTCATTTAGAGCCTATAACCAATATTGGTGTCTTGGTTATTTGCCAGTACTTTCATGAATTCAGTTATTCTAAAGGTTCTAGAAATCTTTATTTGCTTCAAAGATATGACCTACTTAGATACTTGTAATTTAGAGTAAGTCAGAGTCCTTTTCATGAACTTATTCAAAGATACATTTGCAAATGCATTAGAGTAAAATAGTGACTGTACATGACCAAATTTAAAATAACATGGTTGTAGATTTGATGAAAATTTACTTGATAAAAAACTTTTCCTTTTTGTAAAGTATAATGTTTGAAGATAACTATTTCTTGATAAGTAAAAATTACTATGAAATGACATAATAGAACAGTATAAAGCCCATAATTTCTTAGATTTAACACAAAATTTTAATATCTATAGAGACCTAACAATATTCAAGGTTTTAATATGCTGTATAGGATTTATCAGAAGTGTGCACTGAGCACTGGAAACAATTCATAAATTCCCAGTGTGTGCGTTACAAATACCCAGAGCCCCTCTGCTCAATGCCCCCCAGGGAACCATCACTCTTGGCTTGTCCAGTGTCATTGACAGGACACCTGCTACTCCTGAATACACCCTGTTTGAACTTGATTTTAAATCTTTGCAAGGTCCTCCCTGGGGTAGGTCAAAATTTCTAGAAAATCTATTTTGATAAAAATATATGTATACAAATAAAATAGTTATTATTGTTCTGTTTGACAAAGCTTCCAATGTAATTTTGAGAATATTAAATTGGCTTATTTACTGTGTTTTTGGACCATAAGATGCACCTAGGTTTTAGAGGAGAAAAATAGGGAAAAAAATTTTGAAGCAAAAATGTGGTAAAATATTTAATAACATAAATAACACAATATTTCACCAATGTAAGTATAAACAGAATGCAACAGCAGCATTAACAAACATTATTCCTCCCAAATTTGGGAGGGGGAAGTGCATCTTAATAGCCCCAAAAATACGGTAGTTCAAAAACTTCTTTGTTTTTTGAGGAGAGAACAAATCCTTGAGGTGTTCTAGGAGCCCATCGGAATAACTCAAAGTCATTTCTGAGTTCTTAAAATGTAAACTTTGGGAAGGTTGTCATATTTAATCAAAAGATTACAACAAACTTTTTGTAAAACAACACATTTTTGTTAATAACCCTAAAAGGCATTAATCAAACTTAAAACCAGTTTTAATATAAAATATTTTGTCCAAACCACAGGATCCTGTTTAATTTATGTTAGTACTTAATTTCCTTAGACCAGTAAAACATTATACTCTAATTATGCCGTCCAGAGGCAGAAGACGCACCACATGTAACACAAATACATATCACATAAAGACCATACACATAATTTGAACTACTAATTTTTGTAAAGGAATTATAGGATTTCTCTTATTTGCTTTTGTCAACTTTCAAGAAGACTGGGAAAAGGATGGAAGGTCCTAAATACCAAGCAAGAAGACCTTTTGAGATTCTCAATAAAAGCTTTAAGGACTGTTAATGAGCCATGGAAAGAAAGTCTTGCTCCAAGGAGTCTAGCAGCAGGGAAGAGCCCGGTTGGGGCTCCTTTGGCCTCTGAAAGGTCAGACACCTTGTAACAAAAGATACATGCTCCAGATGGAGGACCAGGAGTTATAGCCCACATCAGCAGAGAAATACAAAGAGATAGATGTGTTTATCCTGTGCCTGAGGGTGACCTTTCCAATAATGAGAACATCAGCCAGATGCCCTGGGAATGGATTTATCTCACTCAGACAGGGGACTCAACGCCATGCCTGCCTGTGGTTGTGTTTACCCTGTACCCTGAAGGTGGCCTAATCAATGACCAGAGCACCAGACAAAGGGGAAGGGATGGTCCCCTCAGATGTCAGGGGGTGATCGGTTCCTCAGCCACTGGACCCTGTGTCCCAGGTGTCACCTGGGGACAGTCATGCAGGGTGGCTCCATGTCCAGAGGGCAGCCTTACCTTCTATTTCAGCATTGACAAAACACATCTTGATGAAAGATTTATTCCCCAGTGGACTGGTAGTTTTCCCCATACCTATGAGGACAAGAGAAAGTGTAATGGAAACAAGTCCAGGTACCACCAGAGTCATCAAAGAATGTTACCAGAGAGAAATTAGGTGGAGGAAAGGGTTGGAGCCTGAGGTTTCTTTTTTCACAAATTTAAAACTTTTACAACTTTCACAAAACTTTCTGCAACTTTCACAAATTTTCTTATCTCT